TCTCGGCGGGAGCGCCACTGCGCTCCCAAGTGGCACACTGTAGCAGCGCGCCACCGGGCCAGCCCCTAGAATAATGAATTCTAATTAAAAAACATGCACCTAGCTCACAGGATCACTGTGAGTAGAGGAAAAAACTTGTAAGATATAGTGCTGACGCAGTGTCTGACATACAGTATGCACTCACAAAATGTTTCCTCCCTATACCTACCTCCCTTCTCTTCTGTGAGATGACTGAGATAAATGAAACAGTCTAAATTTAAGAGTTATAAACGCAGTAGCAAAATAAAAAAAAGGAACAAATATTACATTTTGTCTGAGATTCAGGGCCATTTCTGTGTTGTAGAATGGATGTCTGATACAGCTGAAATAGAGGAAAAATAGTAATTCTTCTTACATTGAAGAGCCTATAGCAACACCTGCCTTCTATTGAAAGGGCACATTTGGCAATGAGCACGCACACACACACACACATATACACACACACACACACTCTCTCTCTCTGGGTACTGTTAGTTATCTCTGTGTGTATATATTATTTCTTATTTCTGCTACTAGATTATAAATTCCAGGATATTTTATTTGCCATTTGAAGCCACGAATAGATCTAAGCAGATACCAATGAACAAGCTAGCTAACTTATGATGAACTGGTTCAGTATCTTAAGTAAAATGTAAACAATCTACCAATCTAGACAAGATAGAAATCAACACACATTTTCAGCTCCAAACTATAATATTCATTTGATACCCCCCAAATAGTCTAGCTCAAACGTAGAGGCCTGTCACAGGTAACATCACGTTAAAGATGTAATATATAATGTGCACACTGTAATAACTAAAACATTATGCAAGGCTCTTTGGGAATGTACATCCTGGTAGTATGGAGATTGATGTACAAAGTGTTCTCTTTCATTTCTGATTCCTTTTACATTGTTTCAATAATCCATTTAACTTCACGGAAAATAGCCATGAGTGTATTATAACTCAAGTGATCGACAGCTACAATCGAGCCCTTTCTGATATGCTCCTTTATGTTAATAAATATGGCCACAGCACTAACAAGACTGGCTTTTGCTTCTTTCTGGTTAAAGATGAGTTTTAAAGCTGCCAATGCCTTCATATTGATCATGTCTCTGGCTGCAGCTGGATTTTCAGACATATTCAAAAGAACTTTCAAAACAAGATTTCTGGTTTTACGATTTCCTAGGGACAGCAAATGGAAAAGTTCTGAAAAGTAACTGGCAACAATGTAGTGATGGATAGAGTCAGTAGTTAGTTGCCCTAGTATTTTTAATCCAGATTGCTGCCCGGGTGAATTCAAGGGAAAAGACATGGTTTCCTTACACATATGCTTAACATGTAATTCAATCTTGCGTTGTCTTTCATCCTTGGAAGGAGGATTCACAGTAATGACAGCCTTTTTTCTCACTTCAGAGGAAGGAAAACTGAGTAAGCTTTCAATAAGTGTGACTATACCCACTTCGTTAATGAATTCTTGGGCAAATGGATGAACATTATGGATACCCATTGCAATCTGTGCTATTTTATGGATGAGAGGATCAGTAGTTGACTTAAGTAAATTAACAAGTTTTTCAAATTCCTCAGAATCCATGTAGCATTCCATTTTGCAAGGGCAAGCAAATGGCTTAATTCCATTAACCTCCCTGATCCTGATTTGGCATCTAATCTCATCTATGGTCTGGATGCAAGGGTCAGAACCAAATGGGTACTCAGGGATAGGCTGTGAGCATGAGCGAGTGCTCCTAGAAGGGCAGGATGTTGCCACAGGCAAAGAATGGGAATTTCCCTCAGCTGAGGCTAGAACAATATATGCAGGAGACTTTGTCTCAGATGGGACCTGGGATCTGTATCCTAACACTGCTGGAGTTACAGCAGGGGCTTTGGGCCAGATAGTTACCTCAGACCAGTCTTTGGGCCTATTTTTTTCATTAATTTCATCCACTGGCTGGGGCCTAACTATCCTGCTCACAGGTTTAGGATTAGGGTCAAAACTAGTATCATCTCCTTCCCAAAACCAGCTCCCGATAACATTCTCTTCCTCCTCCTCCTCAGCCCCTGACCTAGGCTTACAACTGGTCCCAGCCACAGGCTCCAACTCCTCAGCAGAGACGTGGGCACCAATATTAGCTTTATCTTTGTCCTTAGCCCTTGAACGATTATCAGCCTCTTCTCCATTCCAGAGCCACGAATTGATATCAGCCTCTTCCCCAGCCCAGAACCAGGCAGAACCAGCCTCATCTTTACATGTGGAGCCAGTAGCTTCATTCTCAGCCTTGGGACTATAATCTGCCGTGGCTTTGACCACAGCCTTAGGCTCTGACAGGGCTTCTTCCCTCCTCTCAGCAACAATTCTGTTCTTAGACACTGCCTTCATCTCTGCCACTGCATCTGTCTTAGACCCTCTCTTGGCTTTTGCTTTGGCCCGGGTCTTGGCTACAGGTCTGACTACAGCAGTAGCCTCCCTCTCTGCTCTAGCTTTAGCCTGTACACCAGCCCGCTTTTCTGTTTTGGCCTGGGCTCTAGTCTTATTCTTAGTTCCGGTCATGGTTGAAGCCCAGTTATACAACCCTGTCCAGCCTTGGCCTTGGTTCTCAACGTGTCCCAAATAGATATCTTAACACTTTTTTTACTGGGTCAGGGATAAATGTGGTAGCAAGAATTAGAGTCAATAGTCAGTTCAATCCCTTTCCAAACACAGTCTCTGTCAATGATACAGAGGAAGGGCAGAGGCACATTCAGGCTGGAGGAGGATGATGATTCTGAAGTGCAGACCTGTTGAAGGTGATGGTTTTCTGCGAATCCAAGGCCACCACAGCCAGCACTGGAGATGGACCTGAGATGGAGGAAAGAAATGGGCTTTGAGTCTCCTCTAATTGTGTTTCTTTATGCAGACAGCCACACAGAAGGTCATAAGAGAGTAGAGATGGATTGTGTGGTAGGAGAAATGGATTAGCAGAAAACTCTGCTACCTTTTTTTAGCCTTTGCATAATCCCACTAACGCCTGACAGTGTCCTGCCCAGCATTACCATTCTTTTCTCTGCATCAAACAGGAACAGAGATGGTAGGAAAGCTTGCTGAGAGTGAGAGAGGCTAAGGAACGCCTAGCCCCTTTGGACCCATGCTGGTATATACCACTAGACCCTATAGGTCTATCCAGTCAGGCTTCACACCAACCTGTACTGATCCAGTGCAATTTTCTCCTCCTTCCTTGCTTTCAGTGTTGATAAGCCCTATAGCCAACCCATAGGCAGACCTGTGAACAAAAATACAGGCAGGACTGGAATTTTGAGTATTTTGGTAGGCAGATCTGCACTCTGGTCTCTAAACCCAATACCTGCTTTTACAAATCTAGGGCTTTGGATATATAACACTTCTGGCCTCCTTGGTCCTCCTCACTGCTTCCCTCCCCATTTCCTGCCCCAATATCCACCAATTACCCTATACACACCATCCTAGCTCACCGCACCCCCATTACTTGTATACAAATGGGAAGGCAGAGGTGTCTGGAAAGTTGGAAAACAATGAGTTCAAGGTGTGATCTGGTCTGAACCACTTGCCAACAGCCACCCTAACCCCCAATCAACAGGGTGCTCAAACTCACACCCAATTTGGATCCAAGTGAGTAATTTTTATTTTCTTTCTTAATTAACTTCCACGTGAACAGCTACCTATGGTTCTCTACAGGAACGTAAAAAGGAACAGACCTATGGGTAGATAAGAGGACAGAGGAAAGAAAACAGAAGAGACCGAGATGGCCCAATACCCATGACAAGGGTTATAACATATGTTTTTGTATATTCAAGGCCAAGGGTTATAACATATGTTTTTGTATATTCAAGGCCATGTTAAATGTCTCCCACCTGTCTGCTCCTTCCCAATGACTCCCCAGACATTCCCCAAGACCTGCAGCCTATCTGATTATAACTCCTCCCAACTCTGAAGTCAGTCATTTTCCCAGCAGAGGCCATACCCCTTTCCCTGAACAAAAATATGAGGTGCAGTAATAAATAGTGGAACATAAGCAACTGTATTTAGAAAACAGGCAGGGAAAATAATAGGGACTATTATTTCAATGCCATCTTTGCATGACCCACCCCCTTAACCATTTATACTTAAATCCTACCTCATTCACCACCTCTGCCAACCTGTACACACGTCAGAGGTCCTCAGGAGAGGCTATCTTTCCAACCAAAGAATTGTCTAGCTGGAGTAAAGTCACACCCTACAGAAAAAAGGAAGTACATTCAGCAAAACACCAAGAGAATATGTGGACAATGGTAGAAAAAATATCAGGTTAATGAACAGATTACCAGAATTTAGGTTCCAACACCTTCTTTTTGAGAATCAGGAACTAAGTAAATGAAGTCTCTTAACTCTCATAGTGCCTCTGATATTCACCATCATAAATGCCGCAAAATCTTGTGGGGCTGCTTCTGTACCAAAATGAAAGGCACTGTGAGGGGAGGTTGGAGATGGAGTTTGGATTTCCAGAACTAGAAAGTGAGGAAGCAGACTGACTCTAAATGTTCTAAATACACCCTTCAGAAAGATTACCTTCTGTACTAAACCCCCATTCCCACATATCAACATATTACTTAAAGTGAACTGGGGCGTTAAGAAAGTCGATCCTGAAAGAGACAGGTGGATTAATACCACACTACTTATTTACATGGACCCTTGCTGTCCAATTCCACCAACTCCTCATCCTGGCCATTTGCTTGCACTGAATTGGGTGTGGGTATCTAAATATGGAAGGCAATAAAACAGTGCTGAATTAAAAGACAGATGAACATTTCATTTTGGTTTCTTAGAACACCCACTCGGGGTTACCCTTCTGCTGAATCCATCCACCATACCTACCGCGCAGACAGGAGACTTTGACATCAACCAGGAGCCTGTGGGAAGGGAGAGCACCTAGGACGCAGGACCCCACAGGCCCCTTTCCGGAATCAGGGCTCCCGAGTAGCAAACGCGATCCCCGGCCGCCCCCCCCTCACGCCCCCCC